GTAAGTACCCCTTAATACTACATTTGTATATATATCATGAATCATTCTCTACATTTTCTTAATTCTTATGATTTGATTAAACACCTCATTGTTTGTTTTAATTTAGTAGAAGAGCAAAATGCCCATCAACAACTAGAAAGTGATGACAGCGATTCAACTAGTGTACAGTCCCAATTATCAGAAGCTACTAAATATGCTGGACTGGTTTACTATGAGGAGAAAGGTGTAGAGGATCTTGTGACTTTCACTGCATCTAAAGATTTGAATGCTCTTGTTCAGGTAAAGAAACAACTTAACGTGTGAATGTGATATTTTGTATTACAGTATATTGAGCAGAGACACTCTCAAGCAGAAATGGGACAAAATGTATACTTTAGCTTTCATCCTTCAAGAGATTACCTTGAGTTGAAACTTGATCATACTCCACAGAAGTATCCTTTTGATGGTTGGACTATACAATCACACTTTGAACCATGTGAAGTAAGACACAAAATGTTAATATCAATAACCACACATGTACATTGTACACTTAGTTGCATCGATGTGATATTGATAAATTTGGTGATGCTAGTGATCCAATTCCTCCATGTTGCTTGATATCAGTTAATAAATCACCTCGTGCTGTTCCTACACTACACTACTCCATACCACTGGAAGGTGTGGTTCGTCCTGTTACACTATATATTCATAGATCACTGAGAACTACAAGTAATAGATAAATCATTTCAATTGTTTATTTATTTAATATTAATCAGATCCTAGAACCTCCTCCTCCTCCTCTAATACAATTAATGAAGTTACTGCAGCATCATCCAATGGAGGAGCTAGTAAGTAACTGTGTGTGTGTGTGTGCATGGTTTGTGTGTATTGGGTTATATTGACCTTTGACCTTTATTAGGTGTACCAGCTATTGTTGATGTTGATGTTGATAAGTTAAAGAAGGTGATTAACAGTGTACTTGTGTCTCAGTTTGCTGCCTTTGCTTCTCTGCCTAAAGAAGCAATTCCTGATCTTGCTAATCAGCTTTATTCTGTTCATCTTATTAACAGTGCAGTCAGAGACAATCCTTCAGTTGAAAAGTTTATTGGTGAATTCAAGGCCAGTCTTAATTTTATGACTGAAATGTCAGAAGTACAGGAACATTGTTTAAAGTTTTTAAATTCATTCCTTGCTGTAAGTGGTAGTTTTACTAGTGCAGCAAAGTTTTTGTATCAGAAATGGATTATAGCCATTAAAACTGAATTAGGCATTGATTTTATTATTGATATTAACTTTAATTAGTAATTTTGTATTTAATAATTTTACTTTAATGTGATTCATTGTGTTTATAATTAATTATTATTTGAAGTGGTCAATTTGTTTTAAATAATTTGATGTGCACAATGTAAAATCAATTCTCCTTAGCAAAATGACAAATGTCCTTTTTGTCATTGCTTCATTGGTTTCACTCCTTCATCTGTTATGGTCAATAGTACAAGCATTTTCACACTTGAAAGACTAATACAAGTGGTTGTGCATTTCTAGGGACTATTATTAATTGGTCTCACTCTACTGGTGTGAATGTTAGCTGTATATGGAGCTGGAACAGGATCATGGCAGAGGATATGGCATATACATCAGCCTATATATAT